AATAGAGAATATAATTCAAGTCACATAACCCAGGATATGTTATTATTTGTCTTTTAGACAAAAGTAAAACAGATTAGTAGGATGTCCACTTTGTGTTATTACTGTCACAATACAGGCAATTCATACTTAAAATGCTTTGAAAGCATATTTGTTTTTGTCTATAGGTGCATTATTGATTTTAAGTTTTGCAGCCCAGTTATAGAGTTAATACATTTTACATACATATGTTTACATATATGTGATTAAATTGCTTTTGTGTAATATTTAAAAAATTTTATATTCATTTTTTTTTCAATGTGTTTAATTGCAATAAATTTTTTCTTGGATTCGGGATTCTATTTTTAGCTGTGAGATATATTTTTTCACAGTTTTTTTTATCAAGATGAAGATGTATTACATGAGAATTATCATTGAGTCTGTCTTACCCTGGTAAAAGTCTCAACAGGAAGTTAAAATGATTGGTCAGTATAACTGGCATACATTCTTTGCATGATCACTGTGTGTAAACAACCATTTTTATAATTATTTAAGTTGGTATATACTGGCAGACATGACAAAATAGTGTAATAAGAGACCATATGACCAATTTAATGAGATTTAAAATGAGGCATTGGGATCTAAATAGGCAATCATAATTTTTCAGAGAGAGTCATTCAAAACCTTGAAGGAACAAGGTGTATATTTTAATATGTTGCCAAGATTGTTCATTAGTCGACTGATTTTTTTATTTAATAATTTATTCCCCTGGAAACTCAACAAACAAGGAAATATTCAGAAAAAAGACTGATTCAAATGAGGAATTTTGATATTCATATATTGGACTACATTTGATGTCATCATCTTCCATATTTGTACATCAAATATATTCTCTAGAATTTATTTTAAAAATGCTAAATGAATATGACTTTAAAGATCTAATATAACTTATTCATCCTCATTTAAAAGTAATCATTCACTAGTTTATGCTAATCTGTTTGATTTCAATTTTATGTTTGGAAATTTACTTTATATAAAGGTTATAAAAACAACTAAAAACCAAAATATCAGATTAAAAGAAACTATTAAATCAATTGATTCAAATATCATAACATGGAAAATATACTTTCATATCTTGTTTGACTGATTCTGTGGACACCTATAGTGTCTTCTTTTCTGTCATCAAAACAATCATCTTTTATCTTCCACAATTAATTGTGCTCCATTTTGCTCTACAGTCTCACTTCTTTGAGGATGAAGTTTCATAAATGTTCAGACAAATTATATCAGGACATGAAGGATATCATATTTCAGCACTATCAACATCATTTTTCTGGAATCCAACTGACAATAATTGCCAAAAATACAAATGTGTTGCTGTCATTCTGCAACTGTTCCTGTGTAATTGTGAGGGTCATTTGGGTTTAGATTTTTAGACATTTCTTAGAAGAAAACAAATCTTATCACAATTAAGCAAAATATTTGTGAAAGATAGATAAAATATAAATTAAAATATATGTATTTAATATATAAGTGACACAATTAAATTATCAGGTAATTACAACCTCCTTGCATTTATTTGGCACATTTTATTAATATTTTGCACATGAACTTGCTATTTTCAAATTCCAAGCCCAAAAATATTCTCAATATTATATCTGCATCATTAAACACTGTATATGTGTACTTTAAATGTGCATGGGAATATGTATGTATGTATGTATGTATGTATGTATGTATGTATGTATGTATGTATGTATGTATGTATGTATGTATGTATGTATGTATGTATGTATGTATGTATGTATGTATGTATGTATGTATGTATGTATGTATGTATGTGTGTGTGTGTGTGTGTGTGTGTGTGTGTGTATGTATGTATATATGTATGTATGTATGTATGTATGTATGTATGTATGTATGTATGTATGTATGTATGTATGTATGTATGTATGTATGTATGTATGTATGTATGTATGTGCGTGCGTGCGTGCGTGCATGCATGCATGCATGCATGCATGCATGCATGCATGCATGCATGCATGCATGCATGCATGTATGTATGTATGTATGTATGTATGTATGTATGTATGTATGTATGTATGTATGTATGTATGTATGTATGTACTTTCACCCATAAAAGAAGTTGCAGTAGCTCAATCAACAGGGAATCATACTCTTATTCACAATTTGATACTTACTCAGGCCAGAACTGGACCAACTGCTTTGGCGTGTCCTTGGGAAAAGTATTTCACTCACATTTCCTTGGCATGATATAGCCAATAATATGTGAAAAAGTGCTGACAAATCAAACAAAAGTGAGAAGAAAAAAATCATCTGTTGAAATCAGGCTTCTATGGATTCATAATATAATAGCTATTAAAATAGACTTTAAGAACAGTTACTTAATATCACAAGGAAAGCAAAATTTACCTCTGATTGTAATCAACTCATTATATTACTTTGATATCATAGAAAAGAAGTTTTATATTGTCTTATCACTTGCTTTTTGCTTGATAATTCTTCTTCACAATGGCTTTGACTGACTCCCTTTTAGTTTCATTTCATTATTATTAATATACTGCATAGAAATCTGATCATATTCATTCTACATTCAGAGTGATACTCTATTCAAAAGAAAGTGGTTACCTTTTCAGGCAGCAAGGTTGGGTATTGACCCATGGGAATTAATTAGTGAAGACAGATTTGATTTGCATTTGTTTTACTTCAGCTCTAAATGCAAGTATTCTAAAGCCCATCTTAATTACAGTCAATCAGTGCTATCTCTTATCTGTGTTAGTGAACAGATTTGATGGTCTAGTGATACACATCAGTCTCTGTTAATTATCAGAGCACCTGCCTTAGTTACTTGGTCTTCAAGTATCAGAGCTTGTAGTTCTGAGTTTAGTTCTGATTGTGTAGAGAAGTTGTAAATTAAGGTGTAAAAATAATCAATAATTTCAGGAAAATGTCTCCCCCTACACCTGAAAATGTGTACAATATTTAACAGAATGGAACTTGCTGTTTAATAAAAGTACTCAAAAAAAGAAGAAAAAAACATTCAAAACCATATTGTTTGAATATTTTTAAGCAAGTACATCAAGCATAGAATTATGCATCTAGATCTGTCTATTATAAAAGTATTATTAGAAGGATTTTTAAGCTGCGTACATTCTGCCCACACAATTTTTGTACCTCTCTCTCTCTCTCTCTCTCTCTCTCTCTCTCTCTCTCTCTCTCTCTCTCTCTCTCTCTCTCTCTCTCTCTCTCTCTCTCTCTCTCTCCTACTGATGTATACTGTGCCTCCAGTTTATAACAAAATAGGTAATGTGATGTGATTATGATTTTTAATTTAGCTTTAGCAATTTTTCAATCATATTGCTATGATGTCTGCAGTGTGACAGTTTATAGTGATATCTAGCACTGGGGCATACTGCCACAGACAAGTAGCATGATGTCCCACCAAGTCACATTCTTCTGACACCAGGCCAACCAGTCCTAACACTAACCTCTCCATGCTGTTAGTCAAGCAAAGCAGCTGTTGGTATCATTTTGTTTTTGCAAGTGTCTGATATAACTCAACCTGGGATCAAACCCATGACCTCTTGAATCCAAGGCAAATGCTTTAACCACTAGTCCATTAGTTGCAACAAAATATTTAAAAGCAGTTCTCAAAAGCTATGAAGCTGTAGATATTATTTTTCAAAACACCGGTTAACTGTATAACCATTTCTGCAGTCTGCTCTCAGCATACTCACTAATGTTACTAATTAATAAATGAATATATTATGCAGTAATTTTTGATTGGTAAAAACAACCTGGTTTAAGATAGGCTTATCACTTGCGTGCTGAAATGATTGATCACCTCTCTATCAATATGTATTTATTGTGTAAATATTATATGAAATAATATGGCAAAAAATTAAATCTGATACCACTGTATAAATATGTTTAAATATGTGTTTTACATAGGTGATACATATGAAGTTTTGAACAGAAATCTTTTACTGTAACAATTTAGGTTTATTTAATGTATTATGGTTCATTTGTTAAGGAATTTAATATCCAATATAGCCCTAGTGTATATTATGCATGGATGAAAATGTCACTCTAATAGTATCTCAAAAAGGATACACATACTTGGCCAAAAATTGTATGAAAAGTGTACATACATAGCTAACATTTTCTTACGAATAATACAGAATTCATGGAATGCATGCTGAGTAAAGTAGTATTAGTGGATGCAAATAAAAATACAAAATTCAGACAAAAAAAATTGGTTATACTCCCACACACTGATTTAATCTTCATATCTTCTAGGGAAAATATTTATTTTATTTATTAAACAGATTTGTACATGTATATCTTAATGTAGTAATCCTTCTGTTCATCAAGTCATTACAAGTCCAAAGTTCAACAAACTTATATAGCATTTTACCCCAAACTTATAAAGTATAATAATTGTGTACATTTTTCTAAATACAATAAATCTGGTTTCAATTTTAAACTTTTAAAAGTTTTGAAAATTTTTCAAGTTTTCTTTGAAAAAAAACCCATCTATTGAATATGTGTACTATGAGGAATCACTAGGTAAGATACTAGCCAATGTTTGTAATGAGTAACCTATTGTACTTGTACTTCAGTTATGTATACATACTGGATAGTTTGGGTGCCCTTTTCATAGTAGCAATAATTTAGTCTTGTACATATTAAATACAATGAGCCAGGTCCAGGACAATGTATCTTTGCAAAACTGACTGAGTTTAAAATTTCAAAATAGTTATTTTCTTTTAAACAGGAGAGATTTTAATTATAATCTAATAAAATGAAATACATAAGATTCCTTCTGTTTTATCATTTAGAATATTCTGCTAAAGACATGTTCCAGCAAGCATCATTACATCAAACGTTTTCACATTTCCCATTATTAACTTTCTTATCTTCAGCACATTATTCACTATATCATGCTGAAATAAATGGAGCTAATTCCTTTCCCTATGACACAATGAGACAGATGGACCAGACTGGCATAGGCAGGTATCAAACCCACAACAATTGGATTAACAGTCCTACACTCTTCCAACTAAGCTCACTTAATGTA